TTCAGAAAATGAGAAAAATTTTGCAACAGTAAATGTAAAATATGCATTAATTAATCGAGCATTATTTTAGTAATTTGTATATCATAAAGTTTCGTGAAGCATAAAGATAATTCTATATATAATAATAAATAAAAAAAAATAAAATTTTTTTATTTGAAGCTTCGTTCGTGTTCGATCAAGTTTGAAAATTTTTCAAATACAAATAAAATGATTAATTTAATAAAATTTCTTGATTCTTGAAATACGAATAAATTATTGATAGAAAATTCTATAAGCAAAAAATATAGAATTAATTTCATTTTATTTAAAAATTAATTTTTAAAATTTATAGATTATATGATTTCTTGACTATGTATATTCAATCTCAATTTTTTCAAAAACAAATAGCAATAAAGTGTACATTATAGCGGATTTTTAATTAAATATCTTTGTCACATTTTAACATATTATTATATTGTTAATTAGGACAAATAATAAATGAAAATTAAGTAATGTTAAAAAATTCATATAATATATAGATCATTTTAAATAATAATAATTTTTTTCATATTTTTAACTATAGAATACAAAACAATCTATTTCCGTTTAATTTCTAGTGCAAATTTCAATTACTTATAATTTAAGTTTTATTCAATAATTTTTTATACTATTTTTGTACTTATTTTTATTTTCAAAATCAATCTTCCAAAGATATCCCATGAATATATTTAACACTTTACATATAATGCTTCACTACATATGCAATAAATACAATTATATATAAATATTTTATATCGTTTTTAAAAATAATGGATATATGTAATATAATATTTCACAATGTCACTTTACTTTACACATATTTTACATATATTAAAATTATTTTACACATTTTTAACATATTGTATTTGCATAAAATTCAAATCTATATTTCTCTTTATTCCTTTTATTATAATATTGTTTCATCGAAAATATTTTCTTAAAAAGAGGAAAGGTAGTTTAAAAATTTCATCAATTCCAAACTTCTCCAAATATCTTTAAAGAAAATTAAAAGGATTTTATGATTTGAAAAATAATGATTTCTATAATTAACATTTTCTAATCAATATAAATTAATCAATGTGTTCTATATTCGATCAATGAAGATACAATGTTATCCTTCCTTGTCCAGTTAATCAGTTGACATTTAATTATTGAGAAGCATTATGATGTAGAAGCAATGCACTAAACAGCACAATATGTTAACATGTTAAAAAGATCGAATAGACATTTCCATTCGATCTTTTATTCGAATCTCACTGTTATTATTTAATATGTTCTAAGATAGATTATACATATCCCATTATATGAACGTTTTTTGATGATTTCAAAAAATTTAAATGTCGAAATAATTTTTCACCTACCTTTCTGTATAATCGTCTTCATTTTAAATAATGTCAATAAATACAATATTATAAAAGATAGGATGCGATGTAATTTCTTAAAAAAGTTCGAAATAGAATTCCGATTAAGAGATTTTAGTTCATCAAACATTTATACGAATTATATTTATTGAAGATAACAAAGAAAATAATAGAATATTTAAAAAAACTGAATAAAGATATGAAACAAATTTAGATGACAATATTAACAACAATCCGATTCATAATAGACCGAAACAACAGCAACGCACTCTAGATCAGATTAATTATCTCATTATTATTATAATATAATTATCGAAAAAGCTAATTGATAATAACACCGGAAAATTTAATCAAAAGATGTTGAAATACAAAAATATTTTTTAATTAAAAAAAAGTGATAAAAAGGATGAACACACTTATTTAAACACAAACAACAAAATAGATATATATGAAACATTAAGTTGTAAGTATACTTACTTATCTACATATAGATTGTAAGAAATATGAAATAATAAACATATTATTCAGAGAAATACCAAATTCTTATTATATTGCGAATAGACAATGAATAAAAATAATGAAGAAATTGAACAATTAATTAGTCGAAAGTTTTTTTCTTTTTTTTTTTCATTTCACGTGAACCATAATCATTATAGATTTTTAATGTCTATTGTATTTTTTTAACTACTATATTTTTTTCTCAATAATTTTATAACAAAATTCAAAATTTTTGTTAAAAAATTATTGTGCATCCAAATTGATATTATATATTAATTTCGTTATAAAATCTTTTTTCATATGCGTGATAAAAAATTGGTGACAAGAAAAGTCGTGTCTTTATTGTTTTTAAATGCGAATAGAATTTATATTATTAAATGAAATCAAATATAGTTACTTTAATTTCTTTTCCTATTAAGATACTCTGATTTTTCTCTTTTATTACAACATGTTACTTTCATCGTTTTCAAAGAAAAAAATATTAATTCTAAGAATAATTTTACTTATTTGTTGTATCATGTTTTTATACACGTACATATAAAATGTAAATACAGTAGACTTTCTCTTCCCTATATTCCCCATATTAATCAGCCAACAATCACTAACATATCATAATTTCTATATTAATTCTATTAATTTATTGATATTAATAAATTGTTATATCTAAATTACATATATATAAATAAGAAATATTATATGCATATATGTACATATATATATATATTTTTTTATTATATTTACAATTTATGATATTATCAGATTAATCAATTCGTTTATCAATCTCAGTAAAAGTCGGTCAAGAGGAAGTCTACTATAAGTAAATATTTTAAGTTCGCGGCATGTTATAAAGTGCGCCTATTTCGCCATCTGGTGAAGTAGAATGTAACTGTTTAAGTAATAAAATTAATATTATCGACTGTCGATAATTATGATTGCAAAAACAGAACGATATAGTGAAACTATATCGCGAATATAAATTCATTTATTTATGATAATTCTTGTTCCTTTATAAACAAAATTCAACAATTGTATTCAAGAATATTTATGTTTTCGTAAATTAGTTTTAAAAAATAAATTTTATCAAAAGTAGTGTACTATTATACAAAATCGTTTTTTGTTCACATTTCTATTAATATTTATCGCTTTAACTTTGAAATAATTATTTAATTAAAATATAAATTAAAATATATATCAAAAATTAAATTCTATTTTATGAGACGCAATAAACTTACCCGTTTGTAGAAACGCATAACATCTATTAGATTAAATATTTTTATATCTTAAAGAAATTTAAAAAATAAACTTATACATTTGTTGATGATTTTTTTAATTATTTGATTTCTTTTAGATATCTGCGAGATTTAATTACATCATATTTCAATAGATATATTTTTATTATGTTTTATTCTTTTATAATAACATATTTCAAGTTATAAATTTATTATATTAAAAATCGTAATATAAATTATTTTTTTCAAAATATTTGAAATAATCAAATTTTTATGTCACGAGTACTCGCACATATCTAATGTTTCGGATTATATTATCCAAATAAGATCAAAAATTGCGCATATAAATGTATAGTAATATGAAAATGTCGATTATAATGATTAATATACTGAATTTAAATTTTTAAACAATATATCATTTTCAACCGATTAACTTTGATCAAAATATTTGTAAAATATGATTTGTTTCTCAAAATTGTTTGTTTCGAAAAAAAAGTTTTTTAAATTCTCATTATAAGAGTTTCAAGCTTAATTCATCATAAGAATTCTATAATTTGTAACAAGAATAGATATACAGCTAAAATAGCAAATATATATGTATATGCATGTATGTATGTATGTGTGTATGTGTGTATGTATACATATATATATATATATGTATACTAATTATGTATGTATATACGTATATACACAGACATCGTAAAAATTCTAATATCGAACCTTGTAGACATCTTTTCTCATAAATGCTAATCATTTATATACTTATGTATAGATAAAATAAATGTACTATTTACTCTCGTAAGAAGGACTAAAAGTTTTAATTTATAACGTAATGTATGTTATAAAGTTCCATTTTTGATTGAATCAGCAAAAAATAGGTTTCAGCTATACTTCCTATATTTTCTATAACAGGATGCTCACGCTGGCACACGTCGTTCCAATCCTTCACGCTAGCACGTAGGAGATAAGATCAATTGCCACACACGAAGCTTAACCTTAACTATATACACGCGTATCGCATTTGATTTTAATCTCTCGCGAAAAGTAACGCTTTGACTCGTCATACTACTGATAAGAAAAAGAAAAAAATATATGGAATGGCAAATCCTATCTTTTCTTACGATATAATAATCAGAAGCAAGCAATTCAACTAAAATCACTTTCTTCTTTATCTTTTTTTCTTTTTCTTTCTTCGTTTACAAATTTCCAATATAAACAATTTTATTAAATTTTATTATGTTAAAAAAAATTTACTTTACGAAAAATTTCAAAAAATCTATTCAAATATCTTGCAACGAATATTAAGAAGAGAAAGAAATAGAGTTATTTTAAATTTCTAAAAGATATGCAAACGCGATTGAAACAAATTGTTTCCTTAATTGCACATACGTTCGAACGTTTGAGCGTTCAACGATTAGATTTATCATTCCATTTTTATTTATATCTTATTAAAATCTGTGAACCTTTTAATTATAATTCATGAATATAATCTATCTGTACATTCACAACCGTTCAAATACACAATAATATCAACATATTTAATATTGGACCATTATAAATGAAAAAAGAGGGTGCTTAATAAAAAGATTTACACTCATTACACAATACCGACATTTCGTGAAATTCTATCATAAAAAAATACATATGCACAAGACTATCTTACAAATCTTTATTCTTCTTTCCATTTTTTTTCCTATTCTTTTTTTTTTTTTTTTTTGTTTTTTGTTTTTTTTTTTTTTTTTTTTTTTGTTTTTTGTTTTTTTTTTTTTTTTTTTTTTTGTTTTTTGTTTTTTTTTTTTTTTTTTTTTTTGTTTTTTGTTTTTTTTTTTTTTTTTTTTTTTGTTTTTTGTTTTTTTTTTTTTTTTTTTTTTTTTTTTTTTTTTTTTTTTAATTCAAGAGATAGAAACAAAGTTAAAATATTAGTTACCAAATATGAAAGAAACTTAAAATGTTAAAATCGACGAACCGGTTGATATTAGTAACATTATGCGAGGAAGGAGACAATTGATATCACGCTACGACGCGTTTCTCAGAAATTTTATTTCTGTATTCCATGAAAAAAGAGAAATCGTTTCACCATAATTCTCATATATTCCATTTCATTCAGTCATTATTTATATAAGATAAGATATTACAGTAATTTGCTATGTACGAATTAATTTCAGCTACTTCCACATCAGATCTGACTCGAAGACTGATATTTAAAGACTCCGACCTCAGCTCTGATTTGAAAACAACTTGTCTATATAAGTCCATATTAAATATATTTTACAATAATATTATCATTGTACATGAACAACGTACGTTCTACACCTCATTTTTGCATCTTAAACTAATCAGTGCACAAAAAGTAATTTTACTTTTTATCAAAGTAAAACTACATTAAAATAACTACTCTATGGTACCAATACTCAATACCATTAAATACATTAATTAAACATATATTCATTTTGATAATGAATTTATAATATACTTTGATCTTTCGTCTGCAAATTAAAAAAGAAAAATAATGTTCATGTACACTGATTAGAATAACGATCGGCAAGAAGGTGTCAATTTGTTAAAATAGACGAGGGGACTGGATTTGTAACCCCAATGTGTGCGCCGCCCTGGTACCTGCTACAATAAAATCAATATTTTATAACAAAATCATTCATTCCAAACAAGTATAATGTTTTGACAATGCTTTTTATGATTCAATTTGCTTTTCAATCATATATTGACATTATTAAAATCTATAAAAATCTATACAAGTTTCATACCATTCATTCATGTATATTATTAAATAATTTTTTTTTAAATGTATTATGCACTCTCTTATATCAATTGAAAAAACTGAGAATATATGGAAAACTAATCTAATTAAAATTTATTTTTTTTTAAATCTTAATTAAATCTTAAATTAATTAATAATAATACATATCATTATCAAATTGCATGATTATATCTCATAATGTTACTTTGTATTTATTATTTTATAATAATTATAATTATTCATATTCTCTTAAAAATTAGAATACAAATAGACAAAGATAATTATATACTTTCCTTATATTTCTGTAATTACTTTAAAAAATACAATCCATACATTCTCATTTTTTTCCATTTGAATTTTATTTGACAAAAAATGTTAATGCTAGTGAGACAAATCAAAGAAACAATTATAAAAAAAAAATGCTTACATGAAGTTGGTAAACAGGCAAAAGGAGGTTATTCCTTATTTTCTTCAGTAGTAATGGTATTAGAGAGATTTTGAGACTCTGACGAAGATGAAGGTGGTGCCTCTGTTGTTGTGTCTGTTGCATCTTGACTCGAATCCGAGCTATCCTTTATGTCCTCCTCCTTTTTTTCTTCACTGATACTAGAACTCTTGCTTTCTTCTGCAAAATTCTCTGATTCTTCTGCAACTTTTTCCTCTTTGAAATTAGTATCAAGAGTCTTTTCAATAGCTTCTTTACTTTCTAATTTTGTAACACCTTTGTCTTCGCTGTCTGCCAATTTTTCTGTTTCCTCCTTATGTTCATCCACATCCATTTTCATAGATTCCTCTTCAGAATGTTTTTCACTTTTATTATTAGCTGCTTCTTCATCCGTATTATTATCATTATTTTTTTCTTGCCTTTTAGGACGCCCGCGTCCACGACCAGTACCTTTTGTCGATGTATCCCTTTTTTCTTTTTTAGGTGGAGATGGTACAGGTGTTGATGAAGTTAGGCCTCGTGCTGAACTACGTGTGCGCCTTCTACCTTCAACTTCTCCAACAGATGCATTTAAATCCTGTAACAAAAAATTATTTATTAAATTTTATTCTTAATTCTAAAAGTAATAATATAATTTTTACATTAAAATATATGCAACTATAATCAACATAATTGTGATGAGAATTTTAATGAGTAAAACTATTTCACTATCTCCACGCTTAAATAAAATTTTTCTATTTTAAAAAAAAACAATATAAAATTCATATTGTCTAATTAAATAAAAATGTTTAAAATGAATTATAAAAATATATAAAAAAAAGGAAAATATTAATTGATAATTAAAGTAATAATAAAAAATCAAACAACCGATCTGTGAAACATAAGTAACAATTCATAATTGGCGGCCACGACATGTATTAGCGGGAATTCTTCCCCTCCAAAGACTTGAGAGAACTTCCCCTCACCCCTACTCCAGCCCTTAGCATCCCCACTCTTTACACCCTTCTGCTCACGTAGCAATGTTTACGGGTAGGCTAAATGGAGGGAAATAACGAAGCGAAGGGATGAAATTTTGATCACTTAAATTTTCAAAATACAACATTTAAACATTAAAAAAATAAATTTTTATTATGTGATTTAATAAAAAGATATGATTTAATAAATAAAATAAGAAAATGAAAGAGAAAAATAAACGAAAAAAACACGTGATGTACCTTTGTGACTCGTTCCCCTTCTTGAGCCAACCTTTCTAATGTAGAGAGTCTTTTCGTGCCTCCTCGTTTATTTTTCGTTGGACTTGGTTTCTCTTCTGCTGAATGGTCCTGAAAATATTTTATTATTGCGTTTTAATAACTTTCAATGAATAGAAACATTTGAAAACTTATAATGTTCAATCGTAATTTAATGTAAAAGTAGCATCAATAATACAAAAACGAATTATATCCGATTTAAAGATTATGTTAAACTAAAAGAAAAACACACAAACGTGATAATTACATCCGCGATAAGACTATCAAGGACCGTTGAACTACGAGAATATACGCTAAGTTTGTTTAAGTTTCCCGCCATTTTGCCAAGTCGATATGTATTTCTAGCGTCGCAGCCTCGAACAATGTTAAGAGAGAACAAGTTTTTGTAAGAAACCTCATGACATATATGGAATCAAAATCTATCTCCCGCCTTTTTTTTTAATAAAGATTTATTGCATTAACTAGAATCTCCCTTCGTCATAAGAATCACAAATAAAAAACATCCACCATCTTTGCCAATGAAGGACAAACGGCGCAGCTTTGAAAAATCACTGAGCCTGTGGTTACGCGCAATAAGGCACCCGTGTTTTTCAGCTGTATAGTTTCGTAGTTTGTATAATCACTTTTCAAATAACATTCCTTCATTGTAATACACGCTATTCTATCGAATTTTCGAGAAACTAAGTATCTTCTTGTATTTGAGGGGCGCAACACGCCGCCTTAGCATGAAAACTCGGCTTGATGAAGATATTTCTCGTGCTTCCCTTTGCTTACCTTTGATACATCCTCGATGTTGTTATCATTTTTGTTCTCCGCCTTAATCTCGGACATTTCTTCGCAACTGAATCACTCAAAAACACTGGAAAAACCGCAGTTTCTCAACAAGAATTTGTGCTGAGCCCGGTCGCACTGTTTATACGATAAGCAAAGATGGCGGTTAGCGTGGGTCACGTGACACATCGTCAAACGTAGAGCGGGAGTTCAGAGCGCCGCCTTGTGATTGACTGAGTAATTTGACACGTAGCGACGCAACACATATCGAACATTTTAAATTTAATCATTTAATTTCTATTTTGTTATTCTTCTTCGCATTAAATTATTATTGATATCATTTCATCGACTATTATAACGATAAATTTTCCTTTAAATTTTTCTTTGAAATAGAAAAATAATTAAATATTATTAAAATGAAAAATATAAAATATAAAAATATATTGTTATATTATATTTTATATTTTTGTGATTATTTTGAAATACGTTTTCTCGTATATTTATAATATAAAATATTTTTTAATTTATTTTTGAATGTAAATATAAAAGATAAAGAATTTTTAATAATTTTCTTAGTCGATGATTTAATATCTACATAAATTGCATTTATACGAATTTACTTATTAATAACTAACATTGATAATGATATACATATAGATATACAAGATATCAAAATAAAGCAATGTCTTTTTTTTACTTCAAAAAGTAATGAATACGTACAATGATATAAAATTAGATCATATCAGATTAACGTATACTATACGAATAAATGTTTATCGCTTTAGGATATAGTAATTGAACATTTGATCAAGAACATAAATGTTGAATATAGTTTTCTTTTCATACATCTTTTCTCATACGCCATTATCATTGTTTAATATTTTAAATGATTATTATTTTAACTAATTATCACGATAATTACTTATAGTAAAAAATATTACCAAACATATTAAATTTTTTTAAGATGAATTATTGTTCTTTAATACCAATTTAATGAGTTGGCATTCTTCTAAACCAAAATCTTGCTCTAAAATCATCGCTGCATGTTAAGAATGCTGGAGCTGTTGGAGAATGAACAATCAATCTTACTGGACCATTATGTCCTAACGATAATAATTGTTTTCTAGATGCATTTCGAGAATTCCATGCACATAATGATGTTGTAGCTTCATCAGGAAACATTACATAATCTTCAGTGTGATTAAAAATAGCTTGGGCTTTATGTTCTTGTTTGCCTATTAAAAATCATTAATCAATTACAATACATTATTTCGTTCTTTTTTTATGATATTAAATTAACATCATTCATATGTGCATATTTTACCTGTAGTTCCAGCACCTGTATATGCTATTAAACATCTGCTAGTAGACAATTCCCATAATTTAATTAAAGAATCTTTTCCTGATGATAATAAATACTAAAAACCAAAATTGCAAGATTAATATTAATTATTTAATTTTTAATATTTTAAATATATCAAATATATATATATTTCAAATATTACAAACCTTTCCATTTCTGGTAAATGTCACTGAACATACTTCATAGCCATCATGTGCTTTCACAAAGGTATTTATACACCGATTTGATACACCATCCCATAATTTAATACTTCCATCTTTACCTGCTGAAGCATAAGTTTTTGCATCAGGAGAATATTTAATACTAGTTATTCCAGCAGTATGTTGATGACTTGGTATACTACAGACGAAGCATTGTGCTGTATTAACATCGTATAATCTCACTACTGAATGATTAGTTCCAACAACTAAAAAATCACCAGTAGGATGGAAAGATAAACATCGTATTTGATCTGCATCAGTAATAGTTCTGAATGCCTTTTTAACACTAGCTTTACTGAAATCAAATAGTTTAATAGAAAAGTCTCTGCTTCCAGACACAAGAATAGGTTCTCTTGGATGAAACTCTAAACAAGTTACTTCTTCTAAATGATCATAAAGTGTTCTTATAACTGGATGACCACCTGTTTGATCACCTGGTGCCATTTCATCTGGTGCAGATTTAGCTAACATTCTATCCACATCTAAAATTTTAATTGATGCATCTACTGATCCAGTTGCTATCAATTGACCATCTGCAGAAAATGCTCCAGCTCTGCAATTTCCTTTATGAGAAGTTACATAGGCAGTTTCATATTGTGCAGGTTCTGGAGCTTGAGTTTGAGCTTCCGTTTCAAATTCTAAATCTAGGCCAGGCCCCAAAGTATTGTCAAAAGTTGATGTGAAGGAAGATAAATTACTTGTATCTTTTTTAGAACGATCAGGTTCATGAGCTAATCCAATTAACATTAAATGAAGTAAACGATCAGATGGAGGACATGGAGGTTCTGCTTGGATTATATTTGACAATTGCACAGCCAGTGTTTGATGTCCATCATAGAATAGTTGGCTAAAACATTTATTATAAATTATTATCAATTTTCAATATAATCTTAAAAATAAAATTAAAAAAATATTCGCAAATTTTATAATTTTAATTATAATATTATAATATATTAATAATAATAATATATTAATAATTTAATATAATTAATTTGTAATTTAAAAAATCTTTTATTTTCAATATTCCAAAAGATTAATTGACATATATATAAAAAATAAAAATATGTACCTTATCATAAGTCTATAAAGGAGTTCTCTGCTTTTTATAATATTCTTCGGATCCACTTCTGGTTCTTTCATAATGTATGAATTTTGTATTTACGATAAATCAAAATATGTTACTTCTTTTCAATATAAGGCATTAAATCTGTAGATAAAATGTCCATTAATCGAATTTAATATTCGAGGTTATATTTCTTTTGTATAACTAATTTAGTAATTTCATTTATCATTGAATTTTTATATATCCAATTTAATAGTTTTTTTCTACTTAATTAGTAAAAGATATTTATCAATAAAAATATTTCTTTAAGAACAAATAAAACAATAAAAAATAGCATGTAGAACTTGTCAGAATGGCCGATCTGCACGAATGTTCTAAATTGAAAATAAATTTTCTAAGAGAAAAGAATAAATCCATAGCAAAACGTAAGAAATTATTATCTTCTGATTATATTATTAAAAAAAGACAACCTTTTGATATAAAAAAAAAACGCGATAAAGACATATTTATTACTAATAAAACAAACTTTAAGGTAATTTTTGCTATAAGATTATTATAACCTTTATTTTTAATATTGTTAATTGTGTGTTAATAATTTTTATAATAAAACTTCATTTATACAGAATTTATCTTGCTTTTTATTATATTATCTATTTACCGAAACGTTATAAACTTATTAATTTAAATATTGTAATTTATTCAATTTTTTGTTTAATTTTATATTTATATTAAATACATAATACATAATTCATTATACAGTTACTTCAAACAAAATTAATAACTAAACAGAAATAATAAATTTAAAATATTTTTTTATTCTCATTAATCTTAATTGATTATTTTTTATTTTCTATAATATAAGGCTCAATTGAAAAAGTGTGAAAAACTGTTAAACAATGGCAATTTTGAAGTGATTATTCATGGTCTTGGTTCTGCTATACAAAAAGCATGCAGCTTGGCTTTACAATTAAAGGAAATACATTATGGTGGTATAGAACTAGATATCAAGACATCTACAATATCAATTATTGGTATATAAATATTGTAAAATAATATATTCATGACGTTGAATACTATAATAATTTTATATTTATATTACAGATGATTTTGAACCTCTTGATGATAATGCAGATTATGAAACAATTAATCGAAATAATTCAGCAATACATATTCGCGTTTATAGAAAATTTTCAATAAATACCCTTAAATATCAAGAATAAAATATAATTTTTCAAAAAATATTGAAGATTTTTTAATAAATATAATTTATTAAATTAAAAAAAATTTATAATATGATAAATGAAAACATAAAATCAAATTAATAATTTTATCAGATTTAATCCCTTTAAAATGATATTTTCTTTACATGAATTAGTACATTGGCTGGGACTGACAATTTTTGAAATATGGATAAATTTAGTTTCATTAACAATCTTCACTGTGTTATTAGCTCTTAAGTTGGATGATAATTATTTCTTGGGTCATACAGGATGGTGGATAGTATTTTCACCACTTTTTGTTGCAGATGGTTTGAATACTTATTTTTGTGCAATTATTTTCATAAGAATGCATTTGGAAGGAATGACTAAAGCTGCTATTTTAAGAGCATTATGGAGTATTATATTATTACTTTTAATATTTGTGTTTAAATATCTTTTGTGTAAAAAACTATCAGGTCAAAGTCCTTTAGAATATTCAGAAGTTTTAAGTCCTATTTTTATTCTTTTGCAATTAATTGCAGTTAGAGCATGTCAACTTCATTGACTACTGCAGAATATTATTATCTATAAATACAAAACTGCAATAAAATATTCATCTTAACTATTATATATGTAAATAATTTATATATAATAATATAAATAATTATTATTAAATTGTTTAAATTGTTCGTTTCTTATTTCATTAATAAGAATATTATTACAAAAATAAAAAAAATTATAATATGAATAATAGAATTGTATTTAAAAGTTTAATTGATAAAAACAATATAAATATAATATTGTAATAAAGAATGATTCATTTGTACTATTGTCTTTTAATCTATTTAATAATTAATAATATATTATATAAGTATATGCAATAATACAAACATTAATAATAAAAATTTAAAAATACTAATAATAAAATCATTAATAATAAAAATTTGAAT